GGGGGGGGGGGGGGGGTGGGGGGGTGGAGGTGACTTGACGGAAGCAAGATCAAAGGGAGATGGCGCGGGGAGTGGTGAAGGTGCTGAGAGGGAGCCCTGGGGATAGGCCCCCTGGGAGAGCAGAGACCCAAAGACCAACGGTGGGGAGAAAAGGACCAAGCACCAGGAGGACACGAGAGGGCCAGGGACCCTGGAGGAGACAGACCCTCAGAGGCGCACAGGGTTACGGAGGGTTAAGAAGTCCCGACGACACCTGTAACTGAGTCACCTGTCCCTGTACAATGCTTTTGGCATGACAAGCACCTCCGAGCCTCAGTTTCCCCTCTGTATAATGGGAATGATGTTCTCTCTCCCTTGCAGGGAGGTGAGGCTTAGATTGACCAGGGAAATGAACAGAAAGCGGGGTGGGATGAACAGAAAGGTGGAGGGGGGAGTGCTTGGGGTGAGGGCTGGAGTGCTCTGATGCTTGCCCCACCCCCAGGTGGAAGGAGAGGAAGAGGAGGTGCTGCCACAACCAGAGCCCGAGGCAGAGCCCGAGCCAGAGAAAGCCGAGTGAGTGGCCTTGGGGGCCTCAGAGGTCTAGCCTTCATATCATTGCCTTCCTCATAGACAGAGTCCCTTGAGGTCTGGGCCAGAGGGGGTCCTGGACATCACTCAGCCCAGCACAGAGGAAGGGGTCACTGAAAGGGATGAGTGCCCGCCCACCCCCACTCACCTCCTAGCCTCAGCATGTTCTGTTTCATGGCCTGGACCACCTGCCCCCAAGCTTTACCCCAGTCCCCTGCATCCTTACTCACCTCCTCCAGGAAGCCACCCTTGACATCCCTCCTGAGATGAAGAGACGTCATCTCTGGTCTCCCACAACCCCTGGGACTTTTCCAGCCCAACCCTGGCCACTCTGGGCAATCATGGCTTGGTGACCAGCCTGCCTCCAATGAGAACAGAGCTATCTTAGCACCCGATGACCCTGGTACCACCCAGTTCTGGGCCAGATGTGGGCCGGGTCCCTAGTGATGGTTTTGAATGAATGAATGAGCACACTGCCTGCCCACCTCTTGACCTTCCGTGTGTCATGCCCTGCAGCGCCGAGAACGGAGAGAAGGAAGAAGCCCCCGAGCCCCCACCAGAACCGCCCAAGGCGGCACCTCCTCCACCCACTTCAAAGAAGGAGGACGCCAAGGGTGGTGGCATGGAATTCTGGGAAGAACTAGAAGTGCAGAGGGTGAAGTTCTTGGTGAGAATCCCACAGGGGCACATTGAACTTGCCTCCCCCAGGGAGAGCCTGCCTTCTACACCCACCTCCCCTTAAGCTCCACACATGCCAGCTGCATCTCTGAGAAGAAGCCAGGCTGGGGGAGAGGGCAAGGACATGAGCCCCTGGCAGCATTTTCTGGTGGCCCTCCATCAACTCTCCATCACCTCCCTGCTTATGATCCTCATGCCACCTCCACACCGTTGCTCATCTGGGACCACCTGCCTGGGTAGACCCCTCCTGACCTGGATCCATCCTCGGCTGCTGCTCATTCCAGCTGAGGCTGTCGTCCTAGTTCTTGCAAGGAGGAGCCTTCTAGTCCAAGCCCCTCTGTCACCCTCCAGGGGCAAGAACTGGGGCTTGAGCTCCCAGAGTTCCTCACCCAGGCCCAGAAGAAGGGAGGACATGTGGGTGGGCGGGCAGGGCCCAGGCTCTCTGCATCCTTTCTCCACTCCAGTCTCACATGGCCATGTTGGAAAGAAGGGGGTTCCGTTAGAATTCAGGGGCCAAATCAAGCCGCAGGGTCAAAGGGAAAGAGAAAAAGGGAGAGGAAAAATGGAAGCTGCCCCCCCCTGCCCCGCCGCCCCCCCCCGGGGCACCTCCTGTGGCAGCAGCATAGAGTAGTTGACAGTGTGGACCTGGTTCAAACCTCAGATCTGTCCCTTTGTGGCTCTCTGACCTTGGGCAAGACACTTGACCTCCCTGAGCCTCAGTTTCGTCATCTGTAAAAAGGGCAGTGCATAGTAGGCCCTACTTCCTAGGCTGGTGATGAGATTCAGACAAGCTCCGGTCCATAAAGGACTCTGGGTGACACACTACTAGGCTGGGGATTTGAGTCCAATAAGTCTAACGACCCCCTCCCACCAAAATCCAACATTGAAAGCCCATGGGACAAAGTTCTTTTGGACATACAGAGTGGATGGAAAACACTGAACCCAGGCCCCAGTCCACACTCACCCAACCACTACCATCGGGTCGATTCGGACTACTAGTGACCCTACAAGACAAGGTGGACTCTGTGGGTTTCTGAAACTGTGTCTTTATGGGCGTAGAATGCCTCGTCTTTCTCCCATGGAGCAACTGGTGGTTTCAAACTGCTGACCTTGCAGTGAACAGCCCAATCTGTCACCACTACACTACCAGGACTCCTATTCAGTCTACACTAGTACTCAGTGGGTCATCCACCTGGGACCAGGTGTTGAGGGTGCAGATACTTTGATTGTGGGTGATGATGGGATGGATCGTGGACGGTGAGCTGGTTCTTTCTCTCTCTCTCCCCCCTCATCTAGAACTACCTTTCTCGGAACTTTTACACCCTGCGCTTCCTTGCTCTCTTCTTGGCATTTGCCATCAACTTCATCTTGCTCTTTTATAAGGTAACCAGTCCTGAGCATGAGGTTCCTCTCAGCCAGGCCATGGGGTAGGAGGCTCTGCTGTGGCAGGGACGGGACAGGTGTTGGGTGGGCTTGGCCTGGACACCTGGCTCACCCTGAGGAGGGGAGTATGGGTCTCTGGTTTCACCTGGAACCAGCCTTGGCCACGTGCCCAGCTCCACCATGTGCAAATTCCCTCATTACATTTTATTTCAAAGCATTGTGGGCCACAAAAAAATTCTCTCTTGGGGGCTGCCAGTTTGACACCCCTGCTTTAGGTTTTCAAGATCAAAGCCAATCAACCCCAGGACTTTGCCTGTCAGTTCAGCATACAAACACCCAGGACAGAGTCTGATTTGTTAGCTTAGGTCTTACGCCCGCCCCTTGATGTTGATTGACAGTCTCACGAAGACTGACAAGGCTCTGCCTCAAAGGAAGCAATTCGTTTCGCTAGGGGGTTCTGAGTAGGGCAAGGTCAGGTGCGAGGACCAGGACACCGTGCCAACAGAACTCTCCCTGCGTCAGGTCTCAGACTCTCCTCCGGGGGAGGAAGACATCGAGGGCTCGGCAGCAGGGGACACGTCTGGCGCAGGCTCTGGTGGCGGCTCTGGCTGGGGCTCAGGGGCCGGGGAGGAGGCCGAGGGCGACGAGGATGACAACATGGTTTACTACTTCCTGGAGGAAAGCACGGGCTACATGGAGCCTGCCCTGCGTTGCCTGAGCCTGCTGCACACACTGGTGGCCTTCCTCTGTATCATTGGCTACAACTGTCTCAAGGTGGGTCCAAGGTGCAGCGCTCACGCAAGGGCTGGGAGGGGAGGGCCAGGGCTGGGCCCAGAGGAAGGGTCCAGTGGCCAGATGGGCTGAAGGCTGAGGAACTGGTTACAGGACTGGGTCTTCAGTAAGGATGCTGGTCAAACTGGGAATGGATGTAGGTCCGAGCTGAGGATGTGGGTGCTGTCCACTCGCTGTTTGGACTTCTTGATTTTTAATTGGAAACCATTGCATTTGCTGCACGGTGGGTGGTCAGTTGGTGAATCACAATCTGTGTGTGGGGGGCTCCCTGATAGAACATGGGTGCTAAGCGGGCGGGGTTGGGGGTGGAGGGAGAGGCTGACCTCAGATATAGTGTTAGGAGACCTCTCTTGGGTTCCTTGAGATCTCACTACAAGGTAGTGCATCTTGACACCTGTCCACCGGATGACTTGTGACTCCGAACTTTTGGTGATGCGGCTCTCTGTCTGGAGTGCTTTGCCGCATTTCCACCCCTCTTCCCCTGCCGGCCCTTTTACTCGCTCTTAGGGTCTGAGCTCAGACCGCTGGCACTGGAGAAACCCTGGGCAGTATTAGGCTTGTCCTCTGCCTCTAAAGGACCCGCTCCCGTGACGCCCCCTTCCCGCCCACCTCTGGCTGCTCCGCCCCCACCATGTCCCACCCCTCTGATGGCTCCTCCCATCCCCGCTCCTCTCCCCTCCCTGTCTCACCCCCCTTGACAGCTCCAACCCCTTTCTTCCTCGGCTACCTACTCTCTCCACCCCCTACCTGCTCCACCCCATCTCCAGCCTGCTGAGCCCCTCCCTGGCCCACCTCCTGTGGCTCCTCCCCACCCGCCCCACCCTTCTGCTCCTCCCCCTCCCCTACCCCACCCCTCCAGTGGCTCCTCCCCCTTCCTTTCCCACCCACTGCCCGCTTCTCTCCACCGCTACCAGCTCCGCCCCCTTCCTGCCCCGCCCCCGATGACTCCACCCCCTCCCCGCCGTACCGCTCAGCCCAACTGGGATGTTCCTCTGGAGTCGCACGCGGGGTCTGCAGTGAGCTCGCTGGGCCGCCTGACTCGCCCCCTCCCCGGCCCTTCTCCCTCCCCCACCCTAGGTGCCCCTGGTGATCTTTAAGCGGGAGAAGGAGCTGGCCCGCAAGCTGGAATTCGACGGCCTCTACATCACGGAGCAGCCCGAGGACGACGATGTGAAGGGCCAGTGGGACCGCCTGGTGCTCAACACGCCGTACGGCCCCGCCCCCACCTCGGGGGGCGGGGGGTCTGGGGAACGCGGGTCTGGGCCCCAACACTGGCTCTCCAGCCCCTGCTGGGACCTAAGCCTCTGTGCCCCCAAAGTACACACATGCTCCTCACATTAAAAGTGAGGGGGCAGGGGCGGATATTCTGATTCACGCCCTGAACCTGGCCCTACCTTCCCTGTGATCCTCACCCAGATGCGCAGAGTGGAAAATCCGAAATAATTTTGAATAGAAAGGGGCCTTAGGGAACAGGTGGGGTGTGCACAGATGGGCACTGGGGAGGGTCTCTGGGCATCACCTATACTTCCCCCACCCTCTGTCCTAATTTATTTTTTAAAAAACCGAACTTACTAGCTCCAGTTCATTCCAACTCAGGGGCACGACAGGACATTGCAGAGCTGCCCCGCTGCAGCTCCTTACAGGACAATCCCCCTGGGGGTGGACTGGTCAGTGTAGGGCAGTCAGCAGCTCACAACCACCAGGAGCTCAGGGGAGGGAGACAGGGCTCTCTACTCTGTCCTGTAAGAGTTACAGCCTTGAAGGGGAAAAAAAGAGTTACAGCCTCCCCGGAAACTCACAAGGGCAGTTTTGCCCTGCCCTAGAGGATCGCTCTGAGTCAGAATGGACTCTGGCAGTGAGCTTCCAGGGAACTCTTGACGGGAACAGGAAGCCTCGTCTTTCTCCCAGGGGGCTGCTGATGGGTTCCAACTGCTGATCTTGCAGTGAGCAGCCCAGCACATAATCCACTAGCTTCTTTGTGTGGCAATAGCAAATACTGAGGTGGGGAGTTTTCGGGGAGATTAAGTGATGCTCTCTGTTTAGGAGGCTGGAAGGCCACATCTGGGGTACCAGCTCTTAGGAAGGGTCTCTTTGTTGGCCCTGGGGGAAGCCCGGGTCTCTGCTTCCCTGTTCAGCCAGGCTCCTCGGAGTTTCTGGACCCCAGGCTGGGCAGCAGCCTCTGTCCTTAGAGAGTGCCCCTCCCCAGTCTGCTCTCTCCTCTCCTCTGCCAAGTCGGCTGTTAGATTTCTAGAGTGACTGCTTTAAAAATCCACCCTATGCGGACCATGGAGCCCTGGTGGCACCATGGGCCAAACCGCAAGCTTGAAGGTTCAAAGCCACCCTCTGCTCTGCGGGAGAAAGATGGCAGTCTAAGAAGCCCCCGTGAGCAATTCTGCTGTGGCCCATGGAGTCCCTCCTGTGAGTGGACTGAAAGGCAGTGGGTGTGCTGCTGACAACGGCCACTTGCCATCGCAAAGGAAACCTCTCCTAAGGGGGGAACTTTCCCCAGAATTGTTGGTTACATCTAGTGGATTCCGACAGGCACCCCCACCCCAGGCTTTGTAGTCAGTGCCACTACAAGCGACTGTCCTGCACAGAGAACTGCCCAGAGGCTTTCTTCCTCCCTGGGAGGGGCTGGGGGTTTGAACAGCTACCCTTCTTTTTTGGGAGGAGGAGGAGGAGAAGAGGGTCCGCTTAGAAAAGTTTTATTACGAATTTGCCAAGAGAAAGAGAAGAAAAGTCACCCCACCAGCCTGCATGTCCTGCTCTCTAATGTTAATCCTTACCCGCCCACGCGAAAAAAGACTTTAAAACGTGCGCACTCCAGAGAAGCAGGAAGTTCTTTTTGAAAGTTCCCCTGGAGGAGCAAGGGTTTCTGGGAAATGTAGTCTCACAAGATCGCAGGTATTCTGTTGTGCAGGTTCCGTCCAAATCTCCCATGCCTTACCACTCCCTGTCCCTGCCTCCCCACGCCCGAGATTTCACCCACAAAATTCTTTATGGGATCAGTGACGAAGGTCTTTCCTGCTGTCTATAAGTCAATCTATTTTATATTAAAAGGAACAAGCTCTTTCAGATAAAGATGCCAGATTTGAGGCTGTTAAGTCACTCATAGGCACTGAGAGCATTCTGGGTCCTTTAAGATTGGCCCTCGAAGAGTTGACCTTTTGGTTAAAAACTCATTGCCCTCCAGTTGATTCTGAAACACAGCCACCCTATGGCCAGGGCAGAACTGCCCCTGCCGGTTTCTGAGACTAACTCTTTCCAGGAATGGAAAGTTAAGGCTTTCTCCCTAAGAGGGGATGGTGCCGTGGTGGGATTCAGTCAGTTTGCACCGTTCTGCAGAACGGATACCTAATCTTTTGTTGAGTTTGGCAAATAGGTTGTTAAAATGGCACTTGTAATCAGGGCTCTCCCAGGTGGGCGGCTGGGTGCCCCACGTGATGTGGGCATCACAAATTTATATTCCTCTTTTTTAATGCGTACCTCTTTTATTGTTCTTATTTAAGTATTAACTATATGAAATCATAAAACTACCTTTCCATATATGTTTTTAATCTGTAAAACTTATATATGGTAGTTTTCTAATAAACTACCTTTCCAAGTATAAATTTTTAATCTGTAAAGCTTATACTTACGGCAGTGAGCTGGTTATCATGTTAATCCCACCACTGGGCTGATGGTTTCAAACTGTTGACCTTGTGGGGAGCAGCCCAACACATAACCCACTATGCCACCAGGGCTAGCAGCTACTTTGTCCTTGAAACCCGAGGAGCCAGTTCTGCTCCTGGAGGGTGACTGTGAGTCGGAACTGACTTCCCTGGGCACGGTGGGTTCTCACACGCCCTGGTTCCAATCCCAAGCCCCAGCCTCTCTC